TTGAACCACCAGCCTTCTGGTTAGCAGTCAAGTGCCTTAGGCACTATTGCTACCAGAGCTCCCAAATTATAGCATCTTGACATGAAAAAATACTATACAACTAGTAAGAATAATGTGAACTATTTAAATAGTATAAGGTTCTTTGATGACACAATTTACACTCAACTGCTGACCAAAAAGTTGGTGGTTCAAACCTGTCCAGTGGCACTGTGGGAAAGAAGTCCTGGCGATCTGCTTCTGTAAAGATTACAGACAAGAAAACCCTGTGGCACTCAGCTTCTCCGTAACACACCTGTTGGCCATGAGTCAGAATTGATTCTGTGGTAATGGGTTATGTCAACAGTTGCACCAGAAATTATGTGCAGACCACCTATAAACATGCAAATACTGTTGAGACAGAGAGTAAACTATGTAGAATAATAAAAAGCAGTTCATTGAGGAGTTTACAATCTAAAAATACATGCATAGTAAAAAATAAATTGCACTCAGTGCTCTGAGTGTCATCTCAGGGGTATAAATATCGTGCTGTAGAGGAAATAACATCCCTCTCTTCACCTAGAAAGCAATATCTGAGCAAAGTCTTAAGGAAATCGGGTTGACAAAGAGCGTGAGTAGCCAGAGGTTTATGTATGGAAGAGTGCCTATGGCAGGCACTGACATTGTGCCCCGTCTAAACATCTGACACCCATCTTTTAGATAACTTTTCCATTGTTGATGTTGTTGCTCTGAGGTGCCATTGCTCTGATTGATGAAAACTGGTCTATTATGTGCTCAAAGTTACTTTTTTTTAGTTTTATCTCATTCTACACTCAGCAGAGCAAGATCACACAGTCTGCCTTGACCCATGTTGTTGTGGGTGCCATCCAGTCAGCTCTGACTCATAGTGACCATATCTAGAACAGAACGAAACAATGCCTGGTCGTGCACCATCCTCACAATCCTTGCTATATTTGAGCCCATTGCAGCCACTGTATCAATCCGTCTTGTTGAGGTTCTCTCAAAAACGAAAGTATTAGTTTTAATCTGCAGAATGATCTCTCACAGCTGGTGATAGAAATTGCAGTGGTTAATAGAAACTACTCAGTGGTGCCCCCCTTTAAGTGGCACCCAGGGCACATGCCATACCTGCCATACCTTAGATATGCCTCTCAAGTAGCATGGCAGCTTCAACACCTGCATGGATAGAGGCATGGCAGTAAGAAAGAAAATTCAGCCTGACGAGATGTCTGCTCCATTCTCTGACATCAGTGAATCACTCCTTAATTCTCCAGTTGGGATTCTTTCTTTGCCCAAGTCCATCCAGAGTTCCCAAATGGGACGCTCTCTCTGAAAGTGGTGATTGTTTTGTGTTGGCGGCTGGCACAAATTCACACTGTGTAGCAAGAGTGAAGAGAGCTCTCTAACCTTCTCCAGAGAAAACAAAGCAGATGTTTTTCTGATGATTTCAGTTAACTCACTCTAAGCTTTCCTTACAGAGCCTGTTATTTTGTCCAAAATCGAAACTCCACATCCACAGAGGAGAGATTGCAAAGATTATCCGAGAATGTCAAGAAGAAAGTTTCTGGAAGAGAGGTAATTGGACCCTTCTTAGTCTTTGTCAATACTGCACTTGCTTCAGAGTCCTTGTGTGACACCAGTGGGTGAGCATTCAACCACTAGCAGAAAGGTGCAGATCCACCCAGACGTGCCTCAGCAGTCTGCTTCTGAAAGGGCACAGCCTTGAAAACCCTGTGGAGCACAGGTCTACTCTGACACACATGGGTTGCCATGAGTTGGCAACTACTCAGAGGCAACTAACAACAAGAACATATTTGCTGCAGTAAACTGCTGTCGTATTAGAATTATGGTAATGATTTATTTTTGAGCAGAGACTTTGCTCACGGACTTTGATATTTGGGGCTGTTTAGAGTTTAAATCCATGCTGAGATCTTTTTAGGGCAAAGGTAATAATTGATTAAGGAGCCCTTTACCTCACTTAACAGTTTCCTTAATGCACACTTAACACTGTCCCTGATAGGACCAAGAAAGTGGACCAAGAGTATTATTTAGAATTTCTTGACTGCCGAAGCAGACCTTCCCAGTTTCACTAGACTCTAAGCTTCAAAGAGCTCAGGAGCAATGCCAAATTTGCTGTTTCATCCCAGAGCCTAGCACAGTGCCTCACACACAGAAAATAAAAAATATGTGTTGAATGAATGATAAATGGCAACAATTCCTTAATACATCTCTCACATGGTCTCTCACATAAGCTTGTATGCTAAGCTGCTTCCTCTCTCTGAGCCTGCCTTACGTAAGACCAGAGTGTGAATTCAGGCTGTGCACTAAGGTTACTTCCAATTTTAAAAATCCATGATTCATCACTTCAAAATGTCATAAGAGAGCCTATACATACACACCTCCACTATTTTGCAACATTGCTGATGCAGTTATAATTTGCACTCAGAAATACTGATTTTGACCTCTTAAATCATTTAAATTTAGTTTCAACTGTTTTGGAAGTAACACTCTCTAGAAGTTGATACTCATTATGCATTGTTTTGATTACTGATTACGCTTCTAGAAATCCGTGTATTCCTGACAACTTATGAGTAAATAATTTAATTGGGCCCCACTACATTAACACTTCAGTATGGCCCATTTGCCTACCATCAGGCCGTGGATAGAAAAATCGGTTGCTATTTGGTTTGTTTTGGTTGTTAGGAAGAGCTGGATGTTTATCACTACTCTCTGTCTGGAAGAGGTTATTTGACACATTTTGACAGAAGTAGAGACTTCTTATGCCATACTAATGACTTGCCTATTTTAAAGATCATAGCTAAACATCACTCATGTTTAATATGAATGTAATCAATTTATTACCTTCAGAAAACAGATCCAAATGTAGGACAAAGTGTTATGAAAGACCAAAAATAAAAAAATGGCAAGGACCTGTCCTAGATTAAAGTAGATAAGAAAGACATGACAATGACATGTAGTGGATGATCCTTGATTTTCTGGATTAAAAAAAAAAAACAAAAACCCCACAGCTATCAAGGATCTTATTGGGCCAATTGGGGAGATTTGAATATAGATTATGTATGAGTAAATATCATCATATCGATGTTGTTTTTCTTTTATTTGCTAATGATATTGTGGTTCTGTAGGGGATATTCTTGTTCTTGGAAGGTATCTGCTAAAATATTTAATGATGAAGAGTCTTGATGTTTGCAGATTTCAACTGGCTCAGAAAAAAAAAAAGGAAAAAAGCAGGGAGAAATAAAGCAAATTTGGCAAAACGTTCACAATTAATAAATCTAGGTGAAGAGTATGCAGGAGTTTGTTGTACTGTTTTTAACTTTTATAGAGAATTGAGAACTTGAAAAAATATAGTTAATGAAAACTCCCAAATGTGACAGTTAAGAGTACATTGAAGATGCATGTGTTACATGTAGTGATCCAAATCTGGTGCACATTGGGCATTCAGAAAACATGGAGGGTGAGATGGAGTGGAGTCCTTGAATGGGGCAAACCATTCACACATTCAGCTGCTAACCAAAAGACTGGAGATTCGAGACCACCCAAAATTGCCTCAGAAGAAAGGCCTGGGAGTCTACTTCCAAAAAAATCAGCCACTGAAAACCCTATAGAGCACAGTTCTGCAGTGACACACGTGGGATCACCATGAGTCTGACTGTGAGTCTTCCAGGAACTGGAACACAGAGAGTAGCATAGAGTTTAGGTTTTGTTAGATAACTGTGTGTCAGGCTGAGTGCTTTGAGCAGATCTCAAGATCTGCCCAAATTATGAATTCCCATGTTTATGACAGTGCTCAATAATTAAAATAAAACCAAACCAAAACCAAATTCACTGCTGTCGAGTCAGATCCGACTCATAGCGAACCCCTCCTTGGGTTTCCAAGGCAGTATCACTACGGAAGTAGATTGCCCCATCTTCCTTCCATGGAGTGGCTGGTGGGTTTGAACCACCAGCCTTCTGGTTAGCAGTCAAATGCCTTAGGTACTATGACACCAAAGCTC